CTAGACCCGAGTCAAAGAATTGGGACTCATTTTGTCTTCAATTGGTCTTTAATCGAATTTCAATATATATTTGAGGCTATAGGACTGAAAAGTCTTATTTTATCCGCGGTTTTCCATTATTAAGACAATTTGAGACTTTTGAGAAGTTTAGATTTTTTTAAAATCTCACTTTGTCCTCAAAAAAGTCTCATTTTGCTGTTATTGAGGAAAAGATGAGTTCTATTTGAAAATTGTTTGGTCCATTAAACGAAGACAGGATAAGATACATGAAACGTTATTGAGACTTTATTGAGTAAGCAAAATGAGTTTAAAAAAAGACTGGTGTGACAAGAAACATTGAGGCCTATCTGAGACTAACTGGGATTCGGTTAATGAAGGCTTATGAGAACTAAATAAAACATTTGAGGTAAAGACATGTTAAATGAATACAAAATGAAGATAGTACGATCGAAAACATTGAGAATAAAATCAATTTAATATGATTGAAAATATTTAGGATAAAATGAGACTAGTGAAGATTCGATGTAAATAGGATTATGAAGACTAATTGAGACATTTAGAATAAAAGAATGTTTAAATCAGACCAAAGTCAGTCTAAATAGTTTACTTCAAGATAAAACGAGTCCCAATTTTTTGACTCGAGATAGGTGTGTAGTAAATATACTACACGCAGAGAAATGTATAGTAAAAATTACCGTCAATTTTATGGTAATTTGATGAGACTGCTATGTGAGGGTAAAAATTACTATACACATTGTAAAAATTACCAAACTGCAAAGTTATTTTTACTCCAATTTTAGCTTAAAAATTACTACGCAGTTTAGTAATTTTTACCATCACACTGGAGTGTCACTAAATTACTAAAAAATTGACGGTAATTTTTACTATACATTTCTCTGCGTGTACTTGTGCGGATCCTGTAACACTATTATTATTGTGTAATAATATTTTAAGATGATAAATAAGACACTAGTAATAAACAGTTACTAGTGTTTGGTAATTACAAGTACAATTTGGGTAGACTTTTATACATTATTATTATTATTTTTTTTTTTTTTTTTGAGAAGGTGTAAAGAGGCTATTTACTTGACCCTATAATCTATTTTCTTCAATGTATGAAAAATAATTATTTTTAACAAACGATAATTAATTACTTTTATTTTTTAATAAATATATTTTTGCATACAAAAAAAAAAATTTTTTTAAAGTCCAAAATGAGTATGAAGTACTAGAAGACACAATTTCGATGCAAAATTCTATCACAGGGGGAATCCGAGGCAAGATGGCTTTTTGAATTTTAAAATGACTTATACACATAATAATGTAATTTTAGCAATAGACATATTTTCAAATCAATGTGAACTTTCGTATTAACAGCTTTGGAGGATCCGTTTAGCCTTATCAAGTTACCAAAAATCGAAAAAGTCGTCTTGCCCCGTATTCCTATACATCTTAAACCTGTTGCGATAAAAAGATATATTTTTTTGATAATGAGATAAGTAATTATTTATTGACATCACTAATGATTAATGATAAATAAATATTATTTTGGAACAATTGTTGAAAATTTAGCTCTAAAGTTCATGATGAATAGATTTAATGTGATTAAATATCTATTTCTTGTTTTTCTTTCGTTTGTAGATGCCGGCGAAAACTTTTCGAGCCAATGTAATATTTCGTTGCAGGTAACGTATAACAAAAAGAGACACAATGCCAAGCGCGGGATCGATTATCCTCGGTCCTCGTTCTTGAATGTGAGAGATATCTTATATATTACTATCTCGCACTAATCTCTCTCCTCTCTGCTGCTTTTATTATCTCTTTTCTTATATATATAATATAAATATTCTTGGGAATTTCTACTCAGGGAAACCGCGATGTTTCATCCACTTTTTTTATTCATAACTCAAATGAGTTATACTTAATCACTTTTTCTCAAACAATTAAGTCTAAGTTTATAATAATCAACGCATTATAATAAATAATTTCTCTGCATTTCGATTATCAATATCTGATATTGAGATAAAATATAATAGATGATTTATTAATGCTATAATTTATTTCACTTTGAATTAAAAAACACTAGATTAAATATTTTTGATCGAGGAGATTGAAGCGAATATTACCGATATTTTTCCATTTGTTGATAGAAAGTATTACAATTTAATTTTATATAAGAAAATTCATTAGAGATACAATATAATAAACACAAAAACACACACACTCTAACGAGCAGCCTAAATTACTCACACTGCAAATCCTAAAATTTCACAAACGTGTTAAAATAACACACCTAAAGCGTGTTCAATGTAAAATGTCCATAAACAAACTGTACATAATACCTAATACCTTTTACACATTTCGTAGTGTGTTGAAATCTATAGTTTGTTTATAGCATTTAAAATTGAATAGGTTTAGTGTGTTAAAAGTGTTTACAAGAATAACACACTTAAATTTGCAGTGTATCCATAGGATAATATGTAATTAAAGAAGCTACAGTTAATAATAAAGAAGCTATAGTTTAACTAGAGCAGCCTAGCTGTGATCATCTCATTGTACAAATCAATAAAGTATCCAATTCATTTCACAATTGCATAAAAAGCTTTATGTCTTTATCTTGATAATTCTGATGGCTCTAAAAATATTTTGTCTTCTTACTTTTAGGAATTTATAATTCAATTGTTCTATAAAATTCTACGTTTAAAGTCATCTTTAAAAAATATTTAATTTATAAAACCATAAAAATATCATAACAGCACCTCTGTTTTGTCTAAATATATTGTTAATATTTTTTATAAAAGAAATTTTTCATTGTTTTCCAATACAACATTTTTATTAAGGATCATAAAATTAAAGGTACATGTTGAAATAATTTTGTCATTCAACATAAAACATTGTTGTTTAAGAAAAATACTAGTTAAACAGAACAAGGAATCAGAACATACTTGAATCTGTCCAAAGTGAAGCAAAAAAAAGAACAAAATAAAGAAGAAAGGCGGTGGTAGAGTCCTGCATCATAAGCACGAAACGACTTTACGGGAATTATATGGCGCGAAATCGGGGAGATATGGAGCTGCAAAATGCGATGTGGTCATCCGTCACTCTCGAGATGTTTGCAGGTGTTTCCTCCACCTCCACATTACGTTCATTTCTCTAAATGTGTTGCGAATCCATTAAATATGTGTAACAATCAAGTCTTAAGATGAAAAAGTCTGCGGAAAAATTATTTCGGGGAATGCATTTGAGAATAATAAAAGAAGTCCACGGAAAAATAAGAAACAAAGAGTAACATCCACGCTTTAGAGTGCATTAGGAAGGAATGCATTGACAAAAACTCATTAAAAGCTTGCAATAACGACCAACCAAATCATCCTGATCATCTTGATCCTGGTAGACGAGCTGGAGCCGTACTTTCACAGGGCTATTCTCAGAAGTGAATCGTTCATTTTTGTCTATATTCACTACCTGGACAGGTGCTCTCTCTTTTGTGTGGATTTATTTAGTTATATGAGACTCTAAAAATGTTTGAAGAATATCTAGAATGCAGTAGGATTTATTAGCTTTGTATTTATTATCAAAAAATAATAGTAAAAAATTTAATTCCAATTATAAAATAAGCAGAACAAATGTAATTAATTGAAAGTTTTTTTAGCAAACTCAAGTATATTAACCCATTAAAATTAATGACATCTGAACAGTAGAACTGTTGTTGAAAGTAAATTTAAATACATTTTATCGAACAAAAAAAACAATCTGGCGATATTATTATTATTTGTTAATGTTTTGAAAATGGTCTGACTATTTAAGTAGTTATGGTCAATGAAAAAATAGGTAAATAATAATTACTATCGAATTTAAATATAGGGTAGTGAAATAAACTGGTAATTATAATCTAGTTCATTTTTCAAAGTCCACCAGACACATTCTTTGACGCTCAATTAGGTGGTGGAAAAGAATTTTTAAGATGTAGAGAATTCTTGGTTGAACACTGGATGATATTCAAACATTTGTTCAAAGAACAACTGATTTTTATATTCTTAGAAAATATTTTGATTTATTTTTAACATTATCTTATTTTTCTTCTTTCCATCTTTGATAATTTATTGTTATAAATTTACCCTAATTTTTTATACAATAATCACAATAAATATTTTAAATATTAAAAATTCTTAGGATAGAGAAAATATTCTAAAAACGATTCCTTTAATATTAAAATTTCATGAATAAATGCAACAACTTTAGAAAGAAAAATACCTGATTGTAATCAGAAAAGATTTTTTTCAACAGGTGATATCCTCAAGTCAAGTGTTGACCTGATTTTGCACAGGATTTAACTGCTCTTAAAACCATTCAAGAAATTTTTGTTCCATCATTGGTATCTTTTCTTATTGATAAAAGTCCTAAAATTGAAACAAATTGAAAGAAACAATATAATTGCATCGTCACTGGAGCAATTCTCTCACACAAATCCTCTGATGCAATGCAGTTTGTTTCGTTAAGTTGTTTAAGAAGAAGATACGATAAAAGTATCTCGTGTAGCAAAATATATCTACCTTAAAACGATTTCTTATTTGGAACGCTACTCATCCACGCCCCAGGGATAATGCTCAAGTTCTCAAGTACAAGGTGCGAAAAGGCGTCAGTTTGAAAAGTGAGAGAAAGCTGCACACGCCTCATACTCTTAGTAGGCTTTATATAGCCTCTTCGCCTACACTACACCACACGTTTTTCATAGCTACAGGTACAATGACAATAGAAAACCACTTGGAAAATTTTTAACACGGACAATGAAATAGGAGAGTGTATCATTTGGTCGTTTATGTTATGAACTCTGTGGTCGTTCATCATTTCCGCTACGGTCGATCGTTATTTTTCATCGTTACATTATATATCTTTTCTCTACGTCTTCTCTTATATATTAGCTCTGAAGAAAAATTTTTATTTGATTGTTTGTGAGCCAAACAAATAAATTGAAAATTCATTTTCGTGTCATTATTATATTCTCCTTTGCCACAACATAATCAATAACAATGAATACTAATTTTTTTTTCTCTACGATTATTATACACACAATTGTTTAAGAATATTTCCAACAATGAACCTCTATTTAGGTGCCAGTAATTTTCATAGAAATTTATCAAGAAATAAATCAAATCCTTTGACTCCAAAAATCCTTGCTCCATAAATTAGCGGAAATATTTAATTATAAATTCTACACAAATTTTTTCCAAGAAATTTTTCTCGAAAGAACTTCAGCATCTATGGGATTTTGAATAAATAATTTTTTAATTAAAATAATTAAACAAACATTTAAAAAAAAAAAATTATTTTTTTACTCACACTTGTTGCTTTACTTTAATAACCCAGTTATTTATTAATAATCTTGATGAAATTTTGAAGAGTTTATTTCTGAAAAAGAATAAAAAAATTAATTGGATGATGACATAAATTTAATGAAAAATGTGAATTAAAGAAAATATTAAATGGTTATCAATATAATAATTGATGTAATGAGCTATCAATTTAGAGTTAAGTGAGTAAACAAACGCCACATTGTCGCAGTACAGTGTCTATCATTGTTTTATCCCTTTATCAACGTATTGCATTCATCAGACCTCTCAGTGTGTGAGCCGCGAGAGTATATCGATTGCTCCGCCTCCTGCTGCGTAGTCATGACGACACACCCTATCCTATCTAACCCCTAACTTAACCCCCTCATCTTCTATATAGTCCTTCATCCTTTCTCTCTCCACTGTCCTTAACATCTCGTCGTCTTTGTATGTCATCAAAAGTATCTGCATTGTAGATAAGTCCAAGAGGTATTATGTAGTCTGTGTCATCAGTGAATATGAGACAGGATGCACCATCAACATGTGATGGAGAAACTATTTTTATAATTATTATTCTCATACAGGAGTAATGGTAATCATCAACAAGCCATAATTGGGTCTCATTCAGCACCAAATAAATAATTTGCTTCCAATCTGAAAGAAAAATTATTTTATTTTATTAAAAAAACATTATCTTTGTTTAATTCTTTGAATATTTCAATTATTCAAATATTTTGGCTCAGTTACAAATTTTTTTTAAATACAACCAATGTATTTTATAAAATGCATTATGCATATTACTTATTTGTGTGTTTTGATTTCTCTCTTATTATATTTTATGGTGTTCAAACGAATTAAAATAAAAATTCTTTTTTTCTTTCAATCCTTTGAAGATGAACAAAGAGTAAAAATAATCTTTATAAAATATGAAATAAATGTATAAAACATAATTTAGAAATGACTAAAAATATTTTTTTGCTGTTAAACAAAACTAAAGAACTAAAATTGTAATTGATTCCAGTCAAACCAATTGAAATTAGACTGACTTGTTGCATTTGACACGCAAGCATGTGCTGAATGTATTTGACATGTCTATTATTTTTTATTTTCAGAGAAATTCGTTTAAAATAAACCTATTAATTTTATTTCCCATGACATTGTTATTCAGAGGCTTGAAAAAATAAAAATGATAAAATTTAAGCATCAAAAATTGTACAGCTGTTTTATATATAATATTCTTTATAAGAACAAAGCTTTTACTTTAAAGTAATATTGGATCATTATAAATCTCATGCGCTTACTTTGGGTATAATAAATTAGGCAAAGACGTTCATCAATTCTATGATGTTGGAACCCATAGAAAGCTTCAGTCTAAAACATCATCCGTCCATCAAAATCCAATGGCCTCATGTGTATCTCGAACCATGATGGATGATTTTTTCTCTCCTAATTCACCTTCAGACATTATTACGTAGTACACTGAAAAAAATAAATAACTTGGTAATATACTTAAACTTCAACTCGTGAGAATACAAAAGAATTTGATAAATACACATGAGTCTATGCAGGTATGTCGATAGTTTATTCGTATATTAAATATTAAAATTAATTTTAGGTTATCTAGACACTCATTTATATCAAAAAGATACACATGAATTCCCGTTATTGAACATTATTTTTTGAATAATTTTATTTATTGTTCAAAGAAATTCTCCATTGCTTCACTTCTTTTTTATAGGTTAAAAACTCACAATTTTTAATTTTAAAAATTTATGGACAACATGTACAGCAACATTTTCTTACCAATCATAAATACAAATGACCGACAAGTGTGAAGGGGATTCTCGCTATTTCATATTTGTGTTTTTTTTCTAAAACTTGCATTTCATATGGTAGTAAAAGAATCTCGTAGATAGTAAATTTAATGTTTGAAATACATTTTTTATTCACAATGCTTTTTCATAAACAAACAGTTGATAATATCTCCAAAATTAATATCTTTTTTTCACATTCATTCTAAAAGCTACTCAACCATGAAAAATGGCATGAATCTTACGAGGTCGTATCAAGAATCCGGATCTCTTTGGTTCCATATTTTTTCCTTTATCACTGTCTTCGTTCGTACCTTTGGCTTATTATCGTATGGGCTTTTTTAGATGCTACAAACCACTCTCCAGACTCATGTACACGTGCGTGAACAGGTTACGTTGCGCACACGTACGTATACACAATATACAAAAGATATTTTGCATTCATATATATATGGAACTTTATATAAAAAAAGCCAAATGAAGTTGAGGGCGTGTTCCAACATCTGTTGGTGATGTACCCTTTGATGTCGATCAATTATATTGTCATGTTTCGCTGCAGTGACACATAAATACACGAGATCTCTAAATATATGTAACTCCAAAAGCCATTAAAATGATTCTGTTTTGATATCAGTTCTTATCAGTAGTCATCATTTGTAATATTTAAAATTATTCAATTGGTCATTCTAACTAATTAATTAAATTATAAAAAATCATTCATTTATACTTCATAACACTTCTGAGTGTAAAAATAATTTAGAAAAAAAACTGTGTTTAGAAAGAGTTTATTTTACTTCTAATTAAATATCTTTTTAAGGTCATTTTCAACTGATTAAACCCAATCTAAGGTAAATTATACCAATTTAATTGGATCATAATAGGCTTGAAAAATTTTGCAGCTTTTTATTCAATTTCTAATTTATTTTGTAATCTTTAAAAATAAATTGATTTTTTTTTTCTAGATTTGTATGAAACCTGAAGCACTTGGAACAGGTAATTGAGCAAAATTTTGAGAATGAGATGAATAAAATTTTTATTCAAGGAAAAATCGGTGGAAGAGCAAAGTATAAAGAAATTTTAGTAATCTTGGAAAATAAACCGACATTGAAGGTTCAAGTGAAAGGAGGTACAGGATAAGATGATCCTTACGCGTCGGCGAAGATCTTGGTTTACTTTTCAGTGGAAATATAAGAGAAAAGAAATATATTATGAGTGAGAAAGCAGGATAAAAGAACAAACGGTAGAGTCAAACCAAAGCACTCGAGCGCACGATGTGGATACAAAGGAACAACAATAAAAGACGATATACAGCTGGCTTGTAAAACATAGAGATCCTGTGAAGATACTTGGATAGTTGAAGGCTACCACTCGTTTTCTCTTGTACCTTGGAGGTGGTCTAAACTTCTAAAACAAGAGTTTTCTCAAAATGCAAGAGAGCACGACTAATAAACTGCAAATAGTTTCTAAAAGGCTTTAGAAATTACGTTGAAAAACCATCAAGTGAAATGTAGGAATGAAATTATTTAAAAAAATTGGAGTAAAAAAATGTTTAATAACAAGAAATATGATTAATTTTTCTTTAAATAAAAATATTTTCCTTTGTGTGCGAATTCAATATTTTAATTACGTGTACCAAATGATTGAAAGCTGTATGTCAAGTGAACATGGAGTTCTTCATTAACAAATACGTTTCGGATTTCTACAAATGATATTAATAATAATCACAACAACAATGTGAGTTTCTGCTCTTATAATTATTCATCAATAAAGTCAAACCATCATCAATCTTATTAGAAGTTTACAAGTGGATTTGATCCTGCTCATTAATCTTACTGATCACAATTGAAAAATTTTTCACAACTTTAAAACTAATTTATTACAGTTTTGAAAGTAAATGACTGTTGCCCAAAAACATGACTCTTTAGTTCTAATTTTTACGAGATAATTAATAACAAATTTAATATTATTTATAAAATTTTCTTACCATTTGACGAAGAAGAGTAAAAAAGAAACTGTAGATTTAGACAAAACCGACTTCTTAGAGTAAATTTATTTTTGTTTTGAAAATCTTCTTATAAGATGAATAGCGTCCTCTTGTATCAAAAAAAAGAAAATCTTAAAGGAAGAGTTTCCCGCTGTGAGAGGCGGAAGTTTCCGCACCCGGGGTGAGATTAACCCTCTTGCTTGCGTCGCGATTTTTTGTAGAACCGATTTCTTACACTCAAAGTGTATATACAGCAAGAATATATAGCATTACTCTCTACTCGTGTGCACTAGGATTATAAGGATCTTTTCGGTAAGTGAAAAGCATCCTCTCAAAGCTTGAAAAAAGATTCCAAAAGATATTCTACAAATCTTGGTACGCTTGGAAGCAAAAACTTGAAAGATTTGTTTGCCGATCTTTACACGGATTACAGGTCTTTGGATTACAGGATTCTTTCGTCTCTGATTACTTGGTTTAATTCCTGACACCCTGAAGAAGCCGTCTATTACTTCAGCTAACGAATTATCTGCATTGCTGAAAAAAAAATTAATTAATTAATTGATCAATAGATGATTTAAATTTGAAAAAAACGTAATAGAAGATTTATATAAGAATTCAAAGCCAAACAAATGAAAGGATCTATTTCCTGGAACAAAGTGACCTGTCATCGAGGTTCAGGACAATAGAGTAGACTTGAGGTGGTCCACGGAATGATCGGTTAGATTGCATCTCTGTTTCTTTTCTTTGCTCCAAACTAACTCAAGTTATATCTATCCTTATAATATAAATATATCCTTATATTCATGCGGTCGGAGATTATTTGAATCTCTTTAACCACGCCCACGATCACGCGGCTTTAGACACACTCGGAACCAGATCTAGAAACAAAGATAAGCAAATCCTGTCATTTCTTCAAAAAACTATGGATATCCTAAATTTGACTTTTTAATTTTGATCAAATTATTAAGTCGTTTTTTAATTTATTATTATAATTTTTAAGATATTTCCTTTATCATAAACTTAATATTTCATTTTATTAATAATTTATGAAAAATAGGATGCATCTAATAATTATTTATTTATAATAAATATGATAATTAAATTTTTCTGTTCATGGAGATGACTATATATATCAAAAAACGTAGGCTCTGTTCAATCTTCTTAATGTACATTAAAACTAGTAATCGTCCACGATTCAATTAAAAATGTAAAACATGAACGTTATGAGGTTGTATGAAACTTTTAGACAATAAAACCCTTCATGCATCAGTGTTAATATTAAATCCTGTTAATATCAGGGATTGAACACGTGCACTAATGTCATTAAAAAATACTTCGAAGATCATTTGATAATCTTCTTCTCTGAGGGGAGAAGATTTATTTGCTTTACCCCACTTACTAATCCAAAATCTAAATGAATATTATGACTTTCGTATTTATTTTCTTTGCCAAGGATCAGCTCTTTTGCTACTGTACTTTTTGCTGTTTCTGGATCGCTACTGAGGGTTTGTTTGCTTAGGATCCACTGACGCACGCGACCTTATTGATATTTCTTACCTTAAAAAAATTCTGTATAATTTTCATTTTCTTGTTAGCATTAACTAGCACTTCCTGAGGTGACTTGGTCTACATAAACAATTCTGGATTCAAACATAATCGCATTGTTACATCTTGCCTTTGTATATCTGAAGGAAACGTTGGAATTCTGGAAATAAAAAGAATCATTTTAATGTTTATATAAATAAAAATAATATAAATTAATTAAATAAATATTTTTGTTTATCAATCAGTTAAAGTTTCTTAAGTACCTCAAAATTATTTTTGGAAACAGAACTATTTAAGTTTTGGAGTAGTGTGGAATGGTATTGATTGTAAACTGTATGCTTAAAGCAACACCTAATCAATACCAGACATAGGTAATCAATAGCTTTTGGTTTGTTTGCTTAGAGAAATTTCTTAATAAATATTATGAACCTTGCAAAAATGTTAGTAATGTCTTTGAGCTTGATAAATATTTACACAGGTGAATTTTCAAAGAATGAAGCTGACTTGGACAAGAAAATTCCTCTGTTTTGTCCAATGCCAAATCATGGGGAGAAATGTACTAAGAATAAAAGCCATAGAAGCTAGAGAAAGGCATGTAACCACGCAATAACGACTCCCACGCTTCGTAAAGTTGGAGGTTGACACACCCCCGCTTGTGTGTTATGTCGAGGGGTTGCCGCGGACAGCAGACTTCCACCCCCCTCCTGTTGGCTTAACACTAATGAATCTGATTTGCATCTGATCCCGACTGATTTACACTATCTTCACCCCTCACTTTTGATGAATTATTTAAAACTATCGTCTGTCAATGATTTATTTTTATTTCTTTTGACATAAATCTTTCTCCTGCTTTCTCTCTTTGAAAATAACTCTGACCCTTTGCTTTCTCAAGCATAAAAGAATAAAAAATGAGAACAAATATTTTCGCTTTATTGAAAAGTATCCAGGAACGTTTTCACTTTATTTACATTTATCTATGAACATCACAGTGACTGTTTGACAATTGATAAAAATGTCCTGTAAATTTAGAGTAAGCATTCCATATGGATTCCATTAATTTATTCAAGATTTTTCTTGATTAAAAATCATTCCAAGATCTGCACTCATTTGTCTCTTGTCTTACAACTTTTTTTTTACACATGTGTGACCTCTTCTAGACTTTTGCTTTCTCCAACAGGTTCGTGTTTGATAGGCGTGGTGCCCTCAAGGCTCTATGAACCTGCTCCGCCTTTCTCAACAACTTTGCATTCTCATCCTCAAGATTTTAACCTTCAGATCAAAGTTTTCATCATTTTTTAATCTCAAATGATCATCCTCACAATGATATTGCTTTTCCATTTTACGTAAAATTCATTTTTCATTTTTGATGTATTTAAAATACATCAAATAAGTTAATTGGTAATGATGATTTTGAATATTTCAAAAATTTATCTTAATACCTAGAAAATAAATCCAAAAGTCTTTTATAAAGTATTAAGGAATATCATCAACTAATCCAATCAAATCAGTAGAATGATTTTATCGAGTTTATAAAGACATTTAGATAATGAAATGGTTTGTATTGATGATCTAGTTTGGTCTAGACATAGTGTATGTACCCTGGTATCACAAATGATCCCTTTGGGACGCCTTTAAGACGGAGGGTCTGTGACATCCAAAGAATGATACTTCAAGGATTATAGGGGTGAAACATGAATTGAATCACTTCCTATCAATTCTTCATTTTCTGAACTCTTAACGTCTGAATAATTTATTTAGAACTCTATCAAAACTGATTTAACCTCAACATTTAATATTTCTATTTTTAAGAAATAGTAGATAACATTTATTGGTTGTAAAAAATTAGGTTATACCATGATTAGACTTGGAGAACTTTATAACAGAATGGTAGTGAATCAAGAAGACGAAGGCGAATAAATTAAGAGGAAAGTAAGGTTAGTTGAAAAAACAATGAATAGGATTTCTCAACCCCTGACTAACTCGTGTTTAATAAAAGTGTACAATCTCCAAGTTTCGCCCCTTGGTTTCGTTCTGTTGAAGCTCGCGAGCTAATCTGACTTTGATTAAACTTTTAGCGACACGTAGAGGGGATGACGGTGGTTAATAGAATCTGTAGGAATAAACCGTTAACGTGTAAGTCGATTTTTATTACATTCTGGTGCATAAATTCGTTCTCCTTTTTTGTTAGTGAAAACATATTTGGAGATTGAATTAGGATTGATCAACACTTACTTACCTATTTATGTTTATTGCAATCTATTAAAAGCCTAAATACAATAAAATAATTCTTTTTAATTTTATAAGAATACATTTGTTTTGATTAAGCAGTTGATTGAGGAAGTAAAAAAGAAAAAGATTTAAAGACTTCTATCAAGTAAAGATTGGTTATGTATTTATTTATTTGGTTATGTATTTATTTATTAATTATATTTCAAAATAAGTAAAGATCTGTTTCTTGACACTTATCAAATCAATAAACAATCGTAATTTCTATTATTTACTGTCAATAAAAATATTTTATCAATAAACGATAATACTGTTACTGCTGATAAAATAGATAAGACATGTAGATAAGTTAGCGCGAAATGTAAATATTTAAATATTTTTTCGGTTTTTTTCACATCATTAATTTGTTGAACATCAATAAATGATATAATTTGTCAATAAGTAGAAAATTTTTGGATATTTTTTAAAATAATGACTTGTTGTTTTTATCGTAGAAATTGATCTATAAAAAAGTGGTTTTTAACCACAATTTAGATTTTCACAGAAAACAGCGTATATTTTCTAAAATTATTTAAAAACAATTTGGAAAGTTTATTTTCTATTCTCCTTTATATAATCCATTTAACTTTTTTACTCTAAATAAGTGTAGCATTCACACAGAAATTAATGGTATTTTAGTTTATTAAATACTCTATCAATGAGTTGAATCCTTTTTTTTTCCATCCGTTTATTGCTCAATAGTATTTTAGTCACGGTTTAGATGAATAAGCATCAAATTTAAAATTAAACTTGAAAGTATAAAATGCCATACCATCGATACCTGGACCGATCTTATAAAAAGCTTGACTTTACATTCAATCAAATCACTGTTAAGTGAAATTTTAATTGAAACACATGAATGTGAAGTAGTGTATTAGATTTTTGTCACTATATGATGTTTGTAGAGATATTATTCATTGGTTTTCTTATTAATATTCGACATTGTCAAGTGAGTATTGTTTTATAATTATTTTCTTTTATATTAATTTTAATTCCAAAATGTCATAAAAACTATTAATTTCAGGGAAAAGAAAATATACTTACCAATGATGAAGTTCTTAACCCACATTTTTCTTCAGTACTTAAAAATGAACCCAATGCTCAAGAAAAGTTTTCTGCTACTAATGGCCTAATCTTTACACATATACCAACAAGTAATGAATACGTGAATCATCATACACCTTTTGGAGTAAAATCTCTTGGAAATTCTGGTGGACCTTATCAACTAAATTACTTCACTCCTAATGATCAACTTCTGCTAAGAAATCATGCTCCAGTTTCTACAAACACATTTACTGAAAACTCATATCAAACATCTCAGAGGCAACCTTCATTTAACAGCTATCCAATGAATCCTATATCATATTTTATTTTACCTCCTAAACCTAATCCAGGGCAACCTTTTTTCCCTCAACAAAAATATTCTAGATCATACCTAACTTTATATACTAAACCTTATTTGAGATCGATTTCTGAATATGTAATACTAAGGGTGAGTCCTAGATTGAATTTAAAGCCACCGTTTAACAGTATCAATTCTCAAAGAGATGGACCAAATCAAGTTTCAAGGAACGAATACTTTTATAGACCATCAGTATCGAATAATCTAATTCATCAGACTCAGGATACTAAAAACTCTGAACAGGCACTCAGAAATAAATTTATCGAACTCAATAATCAAGCTTTTACTGGGAGACAAAACTCTGTCTACTCTCAGCCAATTAATCCATTTTTAATGAGAATAATTCAATCAAACGATCGAAATAATCGAGCTAAAAAACATATAAACTTTCACTCACATTCTAATTTAATTTCCAATAACTCATCAGCTGAAAATTGTCCAGGTTGTGGAAGTTTTATTTCTGTCCATTCCACTCCAAAACCTGAAAGTTCATACTCTTTGATCAATCTAACGTCAAACATCACAAACGAAACATCAAAATTAAATGAAACAATGATGATCTCCAATATGACAGCCAATGAAAATAATTCCACTTTGAATGAATGGACTCACATGAATTCCAGAAATATAAACTCTACCAATGAAATTTTAGCATCTACAGAAAGAGTAATTTCTACAACTTCTGATTTGAATTATGGTTATAAGATACCTATAGATGATATATTAAAAGTAAATGATAAAGGATCTGAAACTAAATCTTCTACGGAAATCATAGTAGTTTTTGATAAAAAAAATTCTATTCCTGAGTAAGTTGTAAATACTACAACTATGTTTATAAATAAATTTAACATATTTTATAATTAACTTAAACTGTCTAAATTTTATGTTTAAATTTATAAAATAATAGTCATGTATATAAAAATTTTTTGTAATAAACGCACGTGATTTTATTTTATTTAACATTGTGTAATATTAAAGTACTCCAAAAATTTTATCATGCAAAAAGAAAATTCACCTGTACAAAAAAAGACCATTAAATATTATTTAATACTTTTTTCTAAATTTATATTGTCTTACTTAGAGTAAACTTCATTTTATACTTTCTGTTTATATTTTATTTGACTTCATTTTGCAATGAATATATCGTATAATTAAAAAAATTAACAATTATTGTTCGTATTACCTTAATTTCTAAAAATTATAAATTTAAAAGTAATTAGATACAAAGCTAGAGTTTCATCACAATCTACAGCAATTTTTTTGTGATATTTCAAATTATTATTTCACCTTTCTTTGGAGTAAACAAGTTATTATTTTAATCGAATACTAAATTTTTATTCTTTTAAGTGTAAATATGATTATAAAATGGCAGCAATTTTGTTGTTACATCATATGTTGATTTTGAAGTTAAATGCTCCATACTAATCAGAATACATTTTGTTTTTACTGCAATTTCAAGCAGAAAGAGAGTACTGATTACGAAGTTTTTGGAATTCGACTTCTTTTTGTAGAAATTCCTTTACAAAAGGATGATCTGAATTGGAATCTTTAAGCTGACTTAGATAACGATTAGCAACTTCAGGTGGTTTCCCCATGTGTTGTGATAAAACAATCATATTAATAAGAGTATCTGGATTATTACTGTCTTTATCCAAAGATTCCTGTAAAGCACTTTCTGCTTCTTCGTATTTCCCTTGACCAATGAAACAAGTAGCTTGACCATTTAATAACATACTCGTGCTCGAATATTTATCAATCATTTCCTATAATATATATAATTGAGAATAAATATTACAATACTCAAGTTATAAAATAGTATTATATTGAATTATAATAAATAAAATTGTAAGTATTCTTACTTGGAAAATGTAATAAGCATCTTGAAGTTTATCTCCACCACTGCTAATATTTATCCAAGCTTGAGCTAGTTGTGTTAAAGTAGCATCATCATCTTTTTCTTGCATAGCTTTCAACTCTTCTTTTGCAAGATCTAGTCTGTTCATTTTCAAATAAATTTGCAATGTCAATGCCATACATTCTAAATCAGTGCTATTTTGTAAAACCTTAAGTGCAGATTCTAAATTTTCTTCATGATAGTAAATCGTTGCTGCTACTATTGTAAGATAAGTATGTCCTTGAACAGGATTCTTAGTAATTGGATCGAATTCTGTTGCAATAGCTTCTCGATTATTTGGTGATGCAAAATATTCCGCCAATACTTTGCAAGCATATAATTCAGGTGGTGTTGAATGAATTATTTCATCTGATACCACCCTGAATTTTCTTTGAGCGATGTAAGCTCTGTATAGAAATACATCTCTTTCTAGTGCAACATCTGGGGACGAAGGCTAAAAATAATAAATAAATTAACTAAAGCACTAAAGAAAAATAAAATTAATAACATTTAAGCAAAACTTTCATAATTGATTAAAAGACATTAAGTTCAAATGTGCGTTTGAAGAACGTTTACTCCCATGCAAATCTAGATCGACAAAGCTTGCAAAATAAATAGTTACATGTAAAATTAATATATGTTATTTAAATAATAAACATTTAATTTGATGCGACAGGATATCGATATTTAGAAAAAAAAATTTTTCGTGTTTATATGTACAAAAAAAGTAGGTACCGCATGGACACTGCATTAAAAAAACTAAAAGGCACAATTTAAAAAAAAAAACCGATAACCTATAATGTCATTTACTAAATAAATAATATTCACCTTTATTTTCTGAGCTTCGTTGATACATTGTTGATAATTTCCAATGTAAAAGTGATTTTTTACATCAAATAATTCGTCCACATCAACTTGCTGCTGACGTGCCATGTTGACAAGTTGTAGATGTTCCGAAGCCAAAGTTTCTTTTGTTGACATTTTTTAATTTTGTTCCAATTCCATGTTTCATGAATTTACAACCGATTGAAGCGACAACGACCGCAACAATATGGCGCGCAATATAACCAGTTTGAACGCGTGATCAACTGTTGTGAGAAATTGTATAATTATCCAGTAAAATATGATACTTTATGATATTTATTTAATATGTAAATTGTTATTAAAAAATTAATAAAATAAATCTATTCATAGAATTATTATTGAGTTGAATTATAATCTCAAGTATAACCCAAAAATTTTTGAAATGTTTTTTTATAATTATTATTTTTTATAATTCAACACATGCGCAACAGAGTTCCTGCGCAGTATGTTATGCGCATGTCGTTACATACGTAAACGCCCTCATCGAAAAAGCGTCATGGCGTTCCTGCGCTTCCGTTTCCTTCTCCATTTACGCCCATTCTTCTGTTGAGGTGAGTTTTTTTTTTCTTCAATATTTTCATGTAATCGAACAAAAAAATATTTTCTAATAAAAAAAAAATAGAATTAATTGAATTTTAATATCATTTTTTGACTAATTCACATTGAAAAGTCGTGTATTTACAACTTTTTTGATATTAAATATCAAATAATCAAAAACTATGGAGGTTAAGTTACACGTGCCACATAACGCTTGCGTTCATTTAGTCTAAAAATGATAAAAAGGTTTTATTAAATAAATCATAATGTTATACAAAAAACTAATTGTTGCATAAATATTTCTATCAATGATGATAATTTCACGCGTCTAAAATGTCGGTTCCCATGCAGAGCTAGCAATAGCTGAACCCAACTGCATGTCGACATGATTGTTGAAAACAGCACAGAAATGCAGTCTGAGTCATGAGATAAAATAACTAAAAAATTCAATGAATTACAAATACTTGTTTAACAGTAAATTAATTTTTTTTCAGTCCTTAAATTTCCGTAAGGTATCCCTACGCTCACACCAAGATGGGTAGGGAGGACAAGGCAACCTGGAAGTCAAACTACTTCACCAAACTTATCGTAAGAATATTGATAAATATTTGTATGTATATGAAAAATGAAGAATAATTGAGATCATTGGAGAAATTGTACAAGTTTTTTAAATATTTAGACTAATGAAAAATATTTTATTCTAGCAACTTCTTGAAGATTACCCAAAATGCTTTATTGTGGGCGCGGACAATGTCGGCTCAAAGCAGATGCAGCAAATTCGTATGTCTCTACGTGGAAACGCAGTCGTTTTAATGGGTAAAAACACCATGATGCGTAAAGCAATCCGTGGTCACATTGAACGCAATGCTGCTTTGGAGAAACTTTTGCCTCATATTCGTGGAAACGTTGGATTCGTTTTTACCCGCGGAGATCTTGTTGAAGTAAGAGACAAGCTATTGGAAAACAAAGTACGTGCTCCAGCTCGTGCTGGTGCTATGGCACCTTTGAGCGTCGTCATCCCTGCTCAAAATACTGGATTAGGTCCAGAAAAGACTTCTTTCTTCCAAGCTCTCAGTATCCCCACCAAGATTTCCAAGGGTACTATTGAAATTATCGTGAGTATTTTTAAACTCATTTTTAAAAGCTCAAATAAAAACTTCTTTTTCAAATTAATAATCTCAAATTTTTCCAGAACGATGTCCACATTTTGAAACCTGGAGATCGAGTTGGTGCTTCAGAAGCTACCCTTCTGAACATGTTGAACATCTCGCCCTTCTCATACGGTCTTATTGTGGAACAAGTTTATGACTCTGGCACTATTTTTGCTCCTGAAATTCTTGACATCAAACCTGAAGATCTCCGCGAAAAATTCTTAGCTGGAGTAGCTAACTTAGCCGCTGTTTGTTTAGCCATTGGCTATCCAACAGTTGCCAGTGTTCCTCACAGCATTGTCAATGGATTCAAGAACTTGTTGGCTATTGCTGCAGTTACTGAAGTTGAATTTGCTGAAGCAACAACTATCAAAGAATACATCAAGGTATTTATTCTGTTTAAATTAATGGGTTTTTAATTTAAATTAAAATTGAATGATCGGAATTGCGAGTGTTTATGAGATCTCATGATTAATTTAAAAAAAAAAAAATTGAGACAAATTAGTTGGTTAATTTTTCTATTTTTTATTAATCGTTCATCAAAGAAAAACATGCAAGGTTAACTGCTATTAATTATATAAATGATAGAAATGATATATGTATAAAGATATCAGATTACATTCAACTATTAGAAATAAAATTATATCTAAATTGAAAGATACGTCAAAAACGAAGTCTGACTTCTAGTTATTAAGTCAATAAAACTTACAACTATCTCGTCTAATTAAACAAGTACCATTTAAATGAACTTGGACAGCCACAATGAATTAATTAAATGATTATTTTTTCAGGACCCAAGCAAATTCGCAGTCGCTGCTGCACCCGCTGCAGCTGCTGCTCCTGCCGCAGCACCAGCAGCTGAGAAGAAAGACGAAAAGAAAGATGACTCTGATTCTGAAGATGATGTCATGGGCTTTGGTCTCTTTGATTAAATTTGACTGCTTTCATGGTCTCAAACGTACTATTTTTGGAAGAATTTGCTATTGACGCTTTGTACTGACGTCCGAATAAAGCAAAAATATAAAAAAACATTTTTATCTTATTCTTTCTTCCTTTTCAGAACATCTAAATTTAAAAAGTTCCATAAAATAGAAATAATTCTAAAATATATTCCATCATATTCCTGAAAAATAGTTGCTCTATTCCTGAATAAAAAAATTGACGTAAATATTGTTCGAAGGTTAAAATAGGATAATTTTATAAATATAACTAGCGAGATGAGCAACTACTAACATAGATAATTATCGTTCATTTTATATCCATAAAAATATTACACATGAAATGATAAAATATTGAAATATCTCAGTAAAGTATATTATGAGTATATTGTTTGTTTACATTATCCATTGATAATAAATATTCAAATTATTAGAAAAATAATCATTCTATCTTTAGTACATAAAATGTGTTCAAAATCAATTGTTATGAACGTAAAGTCAACTTTTATTAGATTCGAGGAAGTAAAACTGTTGAGTGGTGGCTTCTCTTATCGCAAGCGGTCATGGGACTGCCTAGAAAAACGCCAAGTAATGGTTCAACGTCGATAGTTTATGCCTGAACGTCATGTAGAGACGTTCATAAGGCTTGTGATCAGTAATTTTCATTCGTGTATTTTGATAAGTTCTCATAATTGTCATTTGAAACTTATTTGAATTATTATTCAATAGGTCATGGGTTTACTTACTGAGGGTGAACCACTCTCATGGGAAGAGACGAAAAAATTGTCAGAACACGTGAAAAAACATGGAATCATTCAGTTTATTAATTTATATAAAAAACTGAGAGATCGACAAGGAGATGTTTTAAAATGGGGAGACGAGGTAAATTATTTACTCTTATAATATCTCATTATTAAAATTAATTTACTTTATTTCAATAAATAAATTTCCAAGCATCTTTTTCAATCTAAATAATGCAGTTCGATGTGTAAAGTCAGGTAGTATGGTAGTAATTATTATCGTAACCTAGATCTCGCAATAAAAAATTGAAAAAACAAAGTATAATAATTCCGTGTGACCGGAAAAAATCAGACTATTGAATCATAAAGTATTTAAGTAATATTAATAGAGGTTATATCAGTAAGGAGTTTAATGTAATGCTTGGAAAATATTCAATTTCGATATTTTTAGAGCTATACACTCTGTATAGAATATTTATTGTTACCCTTCACATTTAGAAAAATATGGATATCTTTTTTTTTTTGCTAAGGTTTATATCATAATAATATATAACATTAACTCATTATGTTCTAAAACGTGATTGCAATAATTGGGTAATAAAAAAAAAATTAATAATCCATACTAAGTGTGTGTTCAAAGCAAACAAATTATTTCTGTAATTTGTACTCCAATAATTTTCTATTTAATTGTATATTATTTCTATGTCTTAGAAAATAGAATTTCTAAGAAAAAATTTGTGTCAAGCATAACAATTTTATTATGAAAAATTGAATTCACTATTTCACCACAAATAATCATAAAGGAAGTTTAATATATCCTTCAATTCCTGCAAAAGAAAAAACTAAGAATAAACATTTAATCAACCTTGACTAAATAAACCATTATAGAAGCAACTTTAATTATTAATTTTCAGATATCATTAAACAAGATAAATAGATGAGATGTTTTGATATTATTTATATTTATTTATCTTAATCTGATAATAGCTTCAATGATTCATCAAAAAATAAATCATATTAATTCTTATCAGAATTAACTGTACAGCAAGATTGTCATTATTATTTAAAGCTTATATTGGACTTGAATATAATACCTGGTAGGAAGAAAAAGAAAACAAATTTTAAAGAAAAACTGGAATGCTCATCATTTACATATATCAACAATAATCGTATAACCTTGTAGAACAGCCTTGAAATCTTAAAGCTGGTTTTAGGTATAGATACAGTCTATCAAATATCATCTCCTGTAAAAAAAATCACAAATGTAGCTTCATAATTTTCTAACTCCAATATACTTTTCTATGATTACAATTCACTCGGAAAATATAAATTCAAGTTTAGATTATACCTTTTCATGATATGTCTATAAGCGGATTATTAATGAAGCTTAATCGAGAAGATATGTGTAAAAAGACACTTCAGTGTTATGAAGAATTATGTTCTTCGTACATTGACGTCATTAAAGTATCAATATCACTTTCAATAAATGACAATTTCAATAATACTATCAACAATGTCAGTGAAATAATATAGAAAATTTTTTATTAAGCTTCAATTTTAATTGTTGCAATCATTGTTTGATTTTTTGTATTTGCAACTTCCCAGTGGGATGTTATTCTAATGGATCCAATTTTGCATATTCCAAATTTTGGCATATCTCTATGTTTCAAGGTCCCCAAAGTTGAATACAACAGTTTTTAAGTAGACATCTGAGCATGTGTATGTGCGTTTGGAATTATTTTTCGTCTTGATTATCTTGAGAACAAAAAATGATATCGATGTGGGACCAATTGCAGCTTAAAACTGATTAGGTTTTCGATAAAATCAGTCCAGCCATTTTTTATGCAGAGTCCAAAAACTAATTTATAAATCATACTATTTATTAATACAGAATCTTAACATCTTTTAAATAATATTTAACCTTATTGCATGTTTGGAATATTTGTATAAAAAATATGATAAGATGGTCTCATAAAAAACGAAAATAGCAATTAAAGAATTCTAAACTTTTGCCAGTATTGAGAGAAATCTTTTCATGTCTCCCACTGGGAAGTTGATCGTGTGGATCTTTTGGGTAGCATCCAGATCACTAGACCAATATTTTTAAATACATACTTGTTGTTCTTAAATTAATTATAATTTTATTCTTTAAATTGTTACTGCATTATTTTTGTTCTTCGAGTTGAATATAATTCCAAACAATCTTGCCTTTAAAAATTTCTGGTTAAACTATCAGAATAATATATTATACAATAGACACTAATTCCAATCATTATGTAGTATTTTTTTTTTTTTTAAATAAACCATATTATTATGTCGATGTTTTATCAATTTTGCACTCTATTGCGCAATTAGCAGTTACACAACATGATGATTTAACACATATTGCTGATAAAAAGTAACACTTTACATTTAATTTATAACTAATTTAATTTACTAAATTTATTTTTATTTATAAACTAAAAATCTTTTTTTATTTATGTTGAAGGTTGAATATATGATAATCAAATTTGATGATAACAACAAAACAGCTAAACTCAGCTTGCGGTCGGACGAAATTTTAGCAAAACTTAATGAAAAAGAAGAAGCTGATCCAAGGTAAATTGAAGATTAAATCGTTGATGTATGGATTAGAAAATTCCATTTAAAATTGAATGGATTTTTTTCAGTGGAGTTAAATGTCTATGGCGGCCTGAATTTGGTGCTTACATGATCGAAAGTACTCCAGGACAACCTTATGGTGGACTATCAGCTCATTTTAATATTGTCGAAGCAAATATGAAATATCGTCGTCAGGAAGCAATGGAACAATTACAACCTAATGAAAGAATTATTACATTCACTAATTTCTTGAGGTATGTACTGATAACAAATCACTGATTAGTCCAGTCAAATGAGGGAAATTGGATAATTTTCATTCTCGAAGGCCAAACTAATGATTTATAGATCACTAGATCGGAAATTTCGCTTCAGTCGTGAATAACTTTTTATCTATCATAGATATGAAGAAAAGTGTTCAGTACTTTTGCAATTAAAATTACATTCTGAACAACTTTTATTTAAAACTTTTTTTTATATCTACGTTAGAAATCGAGAAATTCGCGATTGGGGGAGGGAGGGGGTCGCGATTTATTCCCCCCTATGGGTGCCAAACATTTTTTACCTACACCATCGTATTCCTCACAAAATTTCCGATTTCAATTTAATTTGATTGAATTAAAATTTTTTTAAAGATTGGGATGTCCAAATTCAACTGATCCAACGTCGAAACCAACCCCAAACTCTGGGTATCAGAGAAGTCTATTTCTTTCTGATGATGCAGTATTTCCTGGTCATCCTAGATTTAAAACTTTGGCAACAAATATTAGGCAGCGTCGAGGTGAAAAAGTCATCATTAATGTTCCAAGTGAGTTTTCGAAAGATAAATAGACAAATTAGCTAATCAATCTATTTGTGTGTAGTTTTAACAAGCTTTATTAATTTATAAATCCATGTATTTTGCAGTCTATAAAGATGAAAATGTTCCAAGTCCTTTTAGAGAAGATTTAAGAGCATTGGGAGATGATGGATCGAGTGAAAAAGTTGCCAAAGATGATCATGTTTACATGGATGCAATGGGATTTGGAATGGGTTGTTGTTGCTTACAAGTGACATTCCAAGCAAGTAACATCCAAGAAGCTCGAACTCTCTACGACCAATTGACTCCCTTTTGTCCCATCATGGTTAGTGTTTTGTCTTGGAACAAAATTCCGAGAAATTTATATTTTTTCTTGAATAAAAAGTTGATCAATGTTAACAATAGGTAACAAAATGTTTATTCAACGTTCAAACAGTTGGCTTTGACAGCTGCGTGTCCGGTGTATCGTGGACACCTCACGGACATCGATGGCCGATGGTTTGTAATTTCCAACTCAGTAGATTGTCGAACCAGAGGTGAACGAGGTCTTGAACCACTTAAAGAAAATGAACGGAAAATAAGAACTTCGAGATACGGGGCTGTTGAATCATATCTCAGCGAACAGGGTGCTAAATACAATGATGTCCCTCTGTTGTATGATGAAGAAGTCTTCAAACAATTGCTAGACAATGGAATAGACAGGCTTCTTGCTCAACATGTCGCACACTTATTTATTAGAGATTGTGTATGTCTTATGTCAACGCAACTGGATCAGGACGACGAAGTAGATACCAATCACTTTGAGGTAAAATAATGTTTAATTTTTTTTATTTTAATAAGATTTTGTTGTTTATACTAGTACTTTTGGTAATTTGATTTTACCAGCAAGACGAAAGCTTTCATTTGGTTTATTTTTTTCATGATTTTAGAACATTCAATCAACTAATTGGCAATCTATGAGATTCAAACCACCTCCACCTAACTCGTCAATTGGATGGAGAGTCGAATTCCGTCCTTGTGATGTACAACTTACAGATTTCGAGAATGCTGCTCTTGTTTGTTTCATTGTACTTCTATCTAGAGTTATTTTGAGCTACAACCTAAATCTCCTAATACCAATCAGTAAAGTCGAGGAAAATATGACTCGAGGAGTAAAACGAGATGCTGTTAATACTGAAAAGTTTTGGTTTCGAAAAGATATTACTTCCACTGCCGATAAAAGTCAATCAATAGAAGAAGAGTATGGAGAATTTACTGTTAATGAAATAATTAATGGAAAAGATGGTGTTTTTGTTGGTTTAATGCCACTTATTGTGTCTTATTTGAATAATATGAATATTGATGCTGATACTCATTGTACTGTGCAAAGATACTTAAAACTCATTCAAAAACGAGCTGCTGGTAAATTAATGACTACAGCTTCATGGCTTAGAAAACAAATTACTACTCATCCAGATTATAAAAAAGATGCTAAAATTACAGAACAAATAAATTACGATATACTCAAAAAAGTATATGACATACAAACAGGTGTTCAATCTTGTCCAGAATTATTAGGATTTTGTACAACTTCAAAAACTACAGAATCAGTTCCCACTGCAATTGTTAATGCTATTAAATAACCACAATGTAATTATCGAATTGAAGAAAACAATAGTATTGGAATTTTTAATTTATAGATAAATATTGTCTACCTCAGACATTTGTTCAATCGATTTTTTACGATGTCAAGTAGTGTTTAAACAATAATTTAAAAGCTTCAAGCAAGGGTCTAACTTTATAAGAAATTTAATAATTCGTAGATCAATGAAATTATTGATGAAGTTAATATACTTTTTTTCAGTTAACAACTAGAATACTTTATAATGTCTTTAAGACTATAATTTTTTTTATCAATTATGAATTACAGCATTTTATTTTTATTGAATTTTTTATGTACAGTTAATGAATTATTGCTATTACTAATGTACCCGTGAAAATTCGGGTGATGATGTAATGGAGTTTAACTTTTCAAAATGAATTAATTATATAGCTTTAATTATGATTGGGTGATTAATAGAATATGAAGGTTTTTCACGTGTTTTCAAGAGATGAAACTTGTTTACATTAGTTTATTGCAAACTCTGAAAAAAAAGCCTTATTTACTACAGGTATATTATTTGTTCACGTCTATTGATTTTATAATCAGCATTTCTACATCAAGTAATAATTTTAATATACTATTGAAATAACTGTAACTATATTTTTGCTGAGTAATAAATGTAAAATAACAAAATATGAGGTATGAATTTTTTAGTCTCAATATATCTTTTTTTTAAATGAACTAAAATGATTGTTCAATTTTAATGGTATCAAGCTTACAGAAAGAAATTTAATTTATGATTTGTCATATTATCAATATATCATTTATGTAATTAAGATTGATTACTAATTTAAATTTGAATTACATAACTTTTAGGTTAAATAAATGTTTTGTTATAAAAATAACAAAAAAAAAATAGAATTCAAATATAATTGTATTTCAGCGGAAAAAACGCATTAGTTACTATTACTGTCACAAGAGGCGTTGATAGTCAATTTTATTTTAAAGATGGCGTCTTTTTATAAATGGCGACTCACGTAAATGCACGTTGCTGATAAATGTGCTCATCTAGAAAAAACGATTATTCCGGTGTAATTTATTGTTGAATTTCGTTTAATTAATTTAGTAACTAAAAATATTAAAAAAATAAGTTAAATATTAACTTGACTTTAATTAAACTTAATAACAAAAACTATCAAATTTAATTACGAAAATGGGAAACGTAAATGCAGCTTCTGCACCACCTCCATCAGCAATGCCGACTCTCACACCTCCAGATATACCGAAAGAGCATCAAATGGGTAGTTATACACCATCGGATACAGAAAACAAATCAAAAAATCCTGGAACAGTGGAAGAACTACATAAGCTTTGTAAAGGTAGTTATTTAAATATTATAGTATCTCATTTATTGATTAATTCGGTTAAGCAATAAATAGAAATAATTAATAAGCACAATGATTAATCAAGAATTATTTGATTTTAGATGTTTTTCCAACGCATTTTGAAGGGGCTAAACTCATGGTCAACAAAGCTCTTAGCAATCATTTTCAAATATCTCATACCATTTCGATGAGCTCTGTTATCAAATCAGGATACAAGTATAATTCATTAATATATTTTATAAAAATATCTGCAAATAGATAAAAAATTGACTGTTATCTGATATTTATAGATTCGGAGCAACATTTGTAGGAACCAAACAAACATCACCAACAGAAGCTTATCCAGTACTTTTAGGAGATATAGAATCTAGTGGAAATCTTAATGCTAATATTGTACATCAATTTCATCCACGATTGAAGGCAAAAATGGCCACACAAGTACAGCGAAGTAAATTCACCGCAGTTCAAATGACTTCTGATTATCGTGGAGACACTTTTACTGCTTCTTTAACGGTAGCTAATCCCGATATCATCAATGGCTCTGGTAATTATTAAACTTATTTTTCGAAAGTTTTATAATAAGTCAAGATGATACATAAGACTAAAATCTTTCAAATTTATCAACTTTGTAAATCAATATTCCAGGTGTTATGGTTGCACATTACCTCCAGAATGTCACTCCAGCATTAGCCCTTGGAGGAGAACTTGCATATCAACGAGGCTACGGTATTCCTGGTGGATCCATTGCTGTAGCTTCTCTCGTAGGCCGATATACAAATGGAGATTCAACAATTAGCGCCAGTTTAGGTACGTAATTTATTTGTAATAATTCAATAGATAGCATCGAATTGCTTGTGTATTAAATACCTGGATAATCAATTAATATTTATTGCGAATAGGTCCAGCAAGTTGTCATTTGTGTTTCCATCAAAGAGCTAGTCAACAATTGCAAATTGGCGTAGAATTGGAAGTTAATTCTCGAATGCAAGAATCAACAGCTACAATAGCCTATCAGATTGATTTACCGAAAGCCGATATAATATATAGAGGTAAATATTTTGAGTTCGATTGTAATCAATTGAATTTGGTATTCATTGAGATAGTTGGTCTTTAAATATTTGTTTTATTTCACGTATGTAATGAGCATGTATTTTTTATATTATTTCAGGGAGCATCGATTCTAATTGGACAGTAGGAGCAGTTTTAGAGAAAAAATTACAACCACTTCCTTTCTCATTTGCTCTCAGTGGTCTCTTAAATCACTCCAAAGGCCATTTCCAACTTGGTTGTGGTCTAATTATTGGCTAAATCATTGAAATTAATATAAAATTCTTCTATTGAGAATTTTATTAAATTAAATAGAAATAAAAAAAATACTTTGACGTTGTATGATACGAGATATTGAATTGTTGAAATGTTCAATAGAACATTAAACTTGTTGCGGATTAAAGATCAGAAGATTACATTCGCGCTACCTGTAAGTACATTTTAGTATTTTGTTGTTCAGTATAAAAAATTATGAACCATGCATTTATTTGAATTAAATTTAAATAACAGATGATCCAAATAAATAAGCAACAAGATAATCTAATATTGTACAATAAAAGTAATTGAATTAATTTAATTCAATTTTTTTGTTATTGATCAATAATGTACTATATTTCATTTTAAACTTTTTTTTGCATTTGTTTACAGTAATTTTTTTAACAATTATGAACTGGAAAAATTCATTGATCTCCATTGTACAGTTACAATAGGCAAATGCGATTGCATGTATTAAAAATATATTATATATATATATATTAAAAAAAAATTTCTGTTACTTGGTATGGTATAATGCAAAGTCTCAGTTTTTATTTAGTTTATATGATGGTTAAATATTGTTTATTGTTTAGTTTGTCTGCTACTAGTGTGTAACTGGAATAAATTTCATTTTACTGCAATAAATGTCGAATAAGAACCACTTATTCTTAATATTATTCACAATTTTGTTTATATATTTTATAAAATCATGAATATTTATGAAATTCGTTGGCTGGAGAAAAAATTATTAATTCGTATAGAAGCACTTGAAAAATAGTATAGTTGCAAGAGCATTTAAAATTACCATTCTAAAACATCTAAGGTGATTTCAATGCTTACAATACACTGTCGTGACTTTTCGCGCAACTCTCGTGTATGCCTAGAAACATTACAGTCCATATACAATAACATACATCAAGTGGTCATATTTTCTTTCTCTTTACTTAATGAACCATGAAAATACTTTCGAGTAAGAAAAATGAAAATTGTTTGTCGATCGTCATCATTATTATAAATTCCTTTTACACATTAAAGAACAATGCATTCATTTTAATTAAAATAAGAGTTTTTAGTAAAAATATTTAACAGAAGTAGAAATGATTTTTTTTAATCAATGAAAAAAAGAATAAATTTGAATTAAGTTATTGTTTATGTGAATAACAATAGAAACTTGAAATAAATATTATTTAACTGCTAAAATACAAAATGTTGACAAATTAAATACTAAGTTTGAGTGAGAAAATATCAATTGAAGTTGAATGTAACTTATAATTAAAAGTGAATCAGAGGATTGAGAAAATGATTGATAAATAGACTTGAAGTTTGCATATCACAGTATATAGTGCGACATGCGTTAAGGCTGGAAAAAATAGGTAAGTGTTAGAGAGGAAAGGAAGGGGAAGGATAGCTGATAAGCTTTGTTCGCGAAAGTCGCCATCGTAAAACAACTTCTTCTTTTGCGCTTTGATGTGAATCGTAATTTTTCCCCTTTGTTGAACTCTTTTCCCCACTACTAGGTTAAGATAGAACAGAAAATTTTCCCCTCTTATTTCTCACTCTGCGACCTCATAAATGTACTCCGCCAATTGGCGTTCTTGCTCTTCGCGCTTTTTTTTCTCTTTCTTTTAAGCTTGGTCTCTTTTATTCTTTCGGTACGTCGTTGCTCTATGTATACATAATACATACGAACTCTGTAGCGATCATAGAGAGCTCGGGCATTATATGAGGACTTTTATTTCTTCTCTACCTATTTTGTTGTTTGAACGTCTTCTAGTTTTTTTATCTTTTTCTTGTCATTGACAAATCAACCAGTTATTATTTTTATTTGGTGTTGTTGATTGAATAATATTTTTTCAATTCTATTTCATTATTTTCATATTTGAACTAGAGTGATTAGTGTTTTAATTGAGGTGAAAATATAAATAATAATAATGAAACAACGAAGAAGTTGTGATGAATGGGAAAATAACTCAGAAGCCAACTATCAACCTCAAGAGTATGGTAATTATTTTAATAATTATTTGGGTAACTTTTTTTAAAATTAACTCACTGGTCTGATGGTCCGCGACTCACTGGAAACCAGTAGCCGTTTGTCATGGATGTATATATGTTGGATATCAGAGTGATAAGCTGCCCCTACGATAACCACTACGTTTTCTACTTATGACATTATACTAGTTTAACTAAACGTGATTGAGAAACTATAACATTTTACTTTACTTGTCATTCGTTTTAGTATTCACTGAATTTTTACAAATAACAGTTAGTCATTAAAATGAAATTCAATATTTTAAACCTTAAAAAAATCATTAGAAATAATTATCTTCTCTATTTAATAATCATTATGAAATAATTCAATTTTTACTTGAAAAATTTTAATGCCTCAAAATTAAACAAACTCATAGATCCTCTCTGAAAGAAAATAAAAATTATTAAAATAAATTTAATTATTTTTATTAATTTATTTAAGTTTATCTTTATTTCTATTTTTTTTAATTAATATTTATTGTGATTATTTTTATAAATTGATTTTTTTAGTATTGATGAATTTTTTTCAAATACTTTGAATAATAAATGAATAAAAATTAAGTATAATCAGTATTGTAATAATAATTATTTTAAGGAAGTAGTTATAATTAGAAAAAGAAAATATTATGAATTTATCTAATTATTTTTCATTGAGTCATGATGAATAAAAAAAAATGAAACTCAGCTGATTATAACAATGCTAATTAAATTATAATATTATCCACGAATTTATTATTCATTATTTTAAACATTACAATATCGTCTTCACGGTCGTCATTATGCTGCTATTTCACTTCTAACGTTAAAACTTAGTGGACTATATACAACACGTTATCGTCTTTACATGATATACTTATGTGCCTGAGTCACTGTAAATGTTGTAACAATAAGTTGAATTTTTTAAAAGTATTATTATTAATAATTCCATTAATGTGTGATTCAATTTTCTTACAATTTATTTAATAACAATGTAAATTAATTAATTGCTTAAATAATAAAATATTAATCATCTCTTCACACCTGCTAATTTGATATTATTCATATATCATTTAAAAAGCTTTCATCTCTGCTTATTTTTAATACACTCAATGAATTTATAAATATTTTTAGTGCTCATTAAACATGAGTTATTCATCTTCGTATATGAGTATAGTCTAAAATTTATCAGATATTCAAAATATTTTGACTTGTTGACAAAAACTCGTCGAACATCACAGTACAAATTCCTTTTGTGATGTCTCATTTTCTATATTCATTTCAACAAAAGATTTAATCAATATTTACTTTATTAATTTAAAAATTCTTTCATTTAAACAAAAAAAAATATATTTCTAAAATAATTATTTTGTAAACATGGATAATTATTTTATATAAAATCAAAGCAATTTTTATAAACAATTTTTTTTACAAATAATATCATTTAGGACATAAAGTTTTAAAATAAAACAATTTATTAATTTAACATTAATGTTGTCAATAAACTTATTGTAATTAATTATCTAAAATGATCAATACTTGATATATATATATATATATTATTTTTATTATTTAATTTAATTTAAGAATATTATAAATGCATAATTTATACAGACATTGGTCTTATCAGAGTCGTTATGATAACAAAAGTCAAAGGCCATAAACTAAATATTAACTTACTTAAGACGCCGTCATCATATTTCATTAATACATATATTTACTTATTTTTTAAAATAAAAACATCAATTCTTTTCGACATATTTATACATATAAACATATTTTTATATATAGTTATACGGACGTGGTATATTCAACCACATCCTTAACACTGGGTTCAAGAACGTTAATATGTTCGAGTGATGGATAAATACTACGTACAATAACGATAACAGTTGAGGAAAAATTTATTCCACTGGAGCAATATAAATAATAATTAATAATTTAACCCATAAAAATTTAAGGATTCGATATAACAAATAATTATCAATTAATTCATTAATAAACTATTGATTACAAAGCTATTAATTATCAGCTAATAATTATTATTGTAATTGATAATTATGAGTAATTAAAAAAGTATTCAAAGCTAGTTCAATTATAGAATTGCGGTTAAACGAATCGGTTGTAGAAAAACTAGATATCATTTAAATAACAAGTGTAAGCTATTTTAATTATTTAAAAAAAAAAAGGTAATTAAATGTTAAATTAAAAATCATTTCAATACTCAGCTTTTTTTTTAGGTTCAAATCTTCCATGCACATTTTTTCTTAGCACTTAAAATCACAGTAGTATAAACAATAGATTGTAAAATGTTCTAAAAATATTTTTTTTTCATTGACTAAGACACTTCACAGCCCATAGTACTTTTATTTACAGTACTATGGTCATAAGATAACTTCACATTTTAGTTCCCTTCTTTCTCATCTAAAAATCAAAACAGGAGTAACTCAATGGATGTCCTTCTTAAAATAGTGCAAAAATCATACCAATTACTCATTGTTAGACATTAACAGATTGTAATTTATATAGTTAAAATTAAAAAAAATAAAAAATAAACTAAGACACGACAAGTTAGAAGGAAAATTGTTACTTTCAAGTAGGAATATTATTAAACACTTGAGGAAGTGTGTGGAAGTCAATTAGTCCACGAGAATAAATGAAAACAAATTTTGGCGAGTGAAATAAAACAACTGGTGTATGACTGATTGAATAAAATACCAATACAAATGACAATGGTCTAGCACAGTTGGTGACGATATTTAACCACGGACACAGAGCTTTTATTTCTCTATCATTTCAGTGCATGTAATGTGAATAACAGTTTGCCTATAAGCGAGCATTATGACTTTTTGCGATATGAGTTATCTCAAGCCTGATATCAGCATATAACTATAACTAAAAACAGTTAGTCTTTCGTAGGTTATATTCACTTGACAATAAAATCGTCACAGTCTTATGTCTTCATTCACTGCTTACATATTAGTCTCTTTAGTCTCCAGGTAATGCCATTATTTTTCTATCCGTGCATTTATGTATCATATATTCTGGTATTAATAATGCTTGCATCATTTTGATTATTGAGAACAAAAAAATTGATATAAATTTTTTGTATTTTATTTCTGGAAATGAAATTTAATTATAAAAGGATATTTGAAGATATTATAATGGATATCTTTGTGCCGAATATGTGGCTATCAATGAAGATCATCATCTAATGTGTTTATAGCTTCCGACATTTGACTCTCTTCATGGTTTATAAGTATTCATAAATATCTTAACGTATCACATATACGTATATTGCATTCATCCAATACAAATCATCAATTTCTTGTGACGTAATAATTATATCAAGATATGTGAGTCGTTATATTTATGAATGCATGGATATATGCACACTATAGTAAACAAAATGAATATATGAAACCCATTATGTAAATTAAACATTTCATATGATCTTTTTATTTTTAAGTTGGCATTTTGAATTGTTTAAATTTTCTAGAGTAATTAGATTTATTTGTAGAATTATTTGTATTGGAGAAAAAAAAAACAAATCATAGTGTTTTAATTATGACATATTTTCTCCAACAATGTAAAACAATTGAACTAATATAGTAATCAGTTGGTGATAATGTAATCTTTACAAGTATTAAAGATTAGCCAAGGACGTAAAGATAAACCATAGTACATATTATACACATTTTCTCTAGTTTATTTTTATATCTCATTAGATATTACTTGAGCACACTCGGCTCTTTAATGAATTTGACGATTCACTAAAATTGAATAACTTGCTTTAGAAAGAGGAATAAAAAACATTGGTAATAATGTCTTTTACAAAAATAGTCCTTTTTTTAAAAATTTTCTATTGAAGTGTCATTTAATGACCATTTAATGCTTGTCTATTATTTTAACACCATTTATCATTACAGTTCAAGAGTTGTACGAGACAAAATGGGCAGGCTAAGTCAGGTAGTCATAAACGTTTGTCAATTGAATATGTTAGGAAATCATAACATCACTAATCGATTGTTAACATCTTGACCATTAGAAAAAATAACATACCAACTCATGTTTTTCTTATCAGCTACTTTTTCATTTCTACATTTTGTAAATTGATTTTTAACTTCAACTGAAGTCTAGTTAATTTTTTTTTTGTTTTTCATTTTATACAAACAGTTTAGTTTAGTGAAGTTATTTTTTTCTCTTCTTCATTAATGACTTTTAACTAATTTGTTTCGAAAGACAATAAGCAATTTTGCAAGGTTTGATAATATTTTTATGGATTTATTTATTATTTTTTTTTGTTTTTTGGAGTAATTATGGGAAATGGGGTTTTTGAAAAATGAATTATAACAAAAAGAGGACCTTTTTGAGTGTACAATAAGTATGTATATTAGTAAATTCAATATAATTGCATATAACAAGGTAGAATAAAGATAACGTCACTCGACATTTAGTGTGATAAAACCCGCATCGAGAGGTCAGTAAATAGAAATAAAATAACACACCCGTCATTTATATAATATATACATAGACATATATTATTTTTAATTATTTGTATTCAGTCTAGAGCGATGTTCACAGACCCCCGCGAACACATTTCCGCTTAGGTAGGTTTCGCCTGAGAAAACTAGTATTCTTATCAACGAAATGTATACGTTCGCTAGGGACAATTTAACCACCGAGTTTAGCACTGACAGTTATTCCTTTAGAATACTTAATAATGTATTATTTAAAGTGATAGTAATTAACAATTATTTAAGGCAGTTTTTTTTTAAAAAAACAGTAAAAACAAGGTTAATAGAGGATTAGAATTGTTCAATTGAATAATTACTGCAGGAAAAAATTTTTATAGGAATTTAGAATAAAATTTACTAGTAAAAAAAAAATTAAAAATTACTAGATTATTTTGATAATATTTTATTATAGTTTTTGCTTTATTATTATTTGTTTTTAATTTTTTTCTATTCATGTAAATATTATTACTATTTGTGGCC